GGCATACGGCCGCGTATTTCCATAGAAAATCACACGCAGCACCTGTCCTTCCAGGGAGCTGCCCGATACGGCCGTGCACGCAGAACGACAAAGTTATCAATGAACAGGAATCCTCTATACTGAGTGTTCCTGTTCAATCATAACATGAGGACAGAGTATGATTACTATAACCACAATCATGAATGAACAGGAGGTGATGTAGATTAGTTCCCATCCATTCATAATTGAGGATATAGTAACCATACTCTGTCCTCAATTATCTACACTCAGCGATCACTGATCAGTGACTGCTTGTACCCCGCTCTCCCCTCTGACACACAAAAAAAACCCCTTTCAAACCGGTTTGAAAAAAAAAAAAAGGGGGTCAAAATCATGTGGTTTTTTTTTGGGGGGGGGGGGGCCTTTAATGGTTTCTTGCACCGGGGCCCTGAGTTTTCTAGTTACGCCTCTGCGTTTGTGTGAATGAGGCCTAAAGGCCTAAAAAGTTTTGCCTGGAGTATGGCTTTAACTTCGGGACACCAACATAACATAAAAAGGTTTAGAGCCGACATACACATTCAGGCTGATTTACTGAAGAAACTGAGAATAATAAATGTGTGAATCTTCACTTCAATTATCCAATCATGGGAAAAGAAAATCCCCATTTATTTAATCTGCATGGTTAGAACATTGAAGTAAATGTTCATGTAATTTATTGTGTAAACGTTCTGAAATCCTTTAGTTAATCAGCCTCAGCGTGTTGCCTTAATACACGCTTTTTTTTGTGCATTAGGCTCATGCACTCAGCTGTACTGAATTTACAATGTAATCTGCAGGATCCTGCTGACAGTTGTCTAAGCACTGTAGGCACATAATATTTGCTTAATTAGTTATTAGAGCCTATTGGTTGCTAGGATGCAGGCAATCAGGGGTGTCCCTAGAATTTTTGCTGCCTGGGGCCAGTGAAAGGGGAGGGGGGGGGGTATTGGCACACGTTCCTGGGGGGTGTTTTGGGTGAAGGGGAGTGCTGGTAGTGGACGTTGCCAGGTACCTCTGGCTCTGGCACGGTCCCTCTCAGTTCCTGGAAACCAGTGATGTCAGTGAGCTGAGTGGGACGCCAGATAGAGCATCACAAGTTGCTAAGAGCCCTTTGCAACCTTGGACACTCTGGCCAGAAAGGGCCCCCTCACTTGACCCAATGAGATTCCATCTGAGGCAACTGCCTCAGGCTGCCTCATTATAGGAATGGCCCTGCAGGAAATAGCCGCCTGTGCCCTAGCAACAGAAGGATGGTAGGCAGCAATAGTGCCCTAGCAACAGAAGGATGGTAGGCAGCAATAGCGCCGTAGCAACAGAAGGATGGCAGGCAGCAATAGCGTCCTAGCAACAGAAAGATTTTAGGCAGCAATAGCGTCCTAGCAACAGAAAGATTGTAGGAAGAAATAGCGTCCTAGCAACAGAAGGATGACAGGCAGCAATAGCATCCCAGCAACAGAAAGATGACAGGCAACAAAAGCAGACAGCAACAGAAGAATGGTAGGCAGCAATAGCGCCCTAGCAACAGAAGGATGGTAGGCAGAAATAGCGCCCTAGCAACAGAAGGATGGTAGGCAGCAATAGCGCCCTAGCAACAGAAGGATGGTAGGCAGCAATAGCGCCCTAGCAACAGAAGGATGGTAGGCAGCAATAGCGCCCTAGCAACAGAAGGATGGCAGGCAGCAATAGCATCCTAGCAACAGAAAGATTGTAGGCAGCAATAGCGTCCTAGCAACAGAAAGATTGTAGGAAGAAATAGCGTCCTAGCAACAGAAGGATGACAGGCAGCAATAGCATCCCAGCAACAGAAAGATGACAGGCAACAAAAGCAGACAGCAACAGAAGAATGGTAGGCAGCAATAGCGCCCTAGCAACAGAAGGATGGTAGGCAGAAATAGCGCCCTAGCAACAGAAGGATGGTAGGCAGCAATAGCGCCCTAGCAACAGAAAGATGGCAGGCAGCAACAGCATCCCAGCAACAGAAAGATGACAGACAACAAAAGCGTCCTAGCAACAGAAGGATGGCAGGCAGCAAAAGCGTCCTAGAAACAGAAAGATGGATGGCAGCAATAGCATCCCAGCAACAGAAAGATGGCAGGCAGCAAAAGCATCCCAGCAACAGAAGGATGGGAGGCAGCAATAGCATCCCAGCAACAGAAGGATGGTAGGCAGCAAAAGCGTCCTAGCAACAGAAGGATGGTAGACAGCAAAGCTGCCTGTGTTCTGGCAACGAAGGGCCTAAGCGAGTACATTTGCACTGTACATATGTAAAAGTAAGCACAAACTTTTACGTGCGTACAGCGCAAAATGTGCTCCATATGCAGGACCGTGGATGCAGAATTTTCTTTCTTTTTTGACTTTATGGATCTGAACGCAGCTCAAGTTCACTGACCTGTTTGCATAAGGCCAACGCAAACTACCTGCAGTACACTTTTTTCTGAGGCCACGTTCATGAGCTCTTGTAAGGTGCTGGGTTAAGGCATCCCATTTTGCCAGCACACCTTAACACAAAATAAAAAAATTAAAAAGCATGTTTTCCTGTGTGCATTGTGTTGCTCTGCATTGCAGGTTGGCGGCCCACTTATATCTGTACATAAATGTGTGATACCGCATTTCTTCAGTGTGAATGAGTCCTTACAGCTTCGCAGGAGTGATGGGAGAAATGCATTTTACAAACACCAGGAGTCTGGAGCCGATGCTTTTATATTGTTATAAACATAACACAGTGCAGCAGAAAAATACAGAGACTCAAAATATGTAAAGCTCGAGCTGGGCAGTGATAAAATACACAAATAAATATTACACAAATATTTATATAAATATTACACAAATATTTATATACATTTCATTAATACATCATAAAATGTACTTTTTTTAATGAAAAAAAACACAAAACTGAATTTGACTTGGTCTTAGCCTCTTGCAATATTTGTACAGCAAAGCTCAGACTGGTTAAAAGAGAAGCAGCACTGGGAACCAACCAGTTGTGCTGCCGTGCTAGCAAGGAACATGTTAATACGGTAGGACGAGAGAGCAGAGGGACAGATAAATTAACTCATCAGTATGCTGCTCCTGCTTTCACTGTCCAGTTACATGCTGGGGGAGTGTCAAGACCTCTAAGTGTCACCAAACCCCTTGTCACCACTTCCCAATGGCCCTTTGGCCCTTAATGTTAGGAGCAGAGGCAGCCCTGATCATGTAACTACTCTGACTGTCACATGACCAGGAGCCAGTCCTGCCTTTATTGTGCGTCTATGACACACAACAGTGGAGCCCAACTGACACACAAAATATGGCAACCCAACACTAAAGTAGTATTTAACTTCCAAGTATTAAAAAAGGTTTTCTGTAATGAATCCAGATCAAACAAATGTACATTGTCCAGCAAAGCATTGCTTTACTTTTTTGCCCACTTACAATTATCATGTTTCTGAACAACTGCTTCCAAGTCTCTCAGCTCGGCTTTCCTGAACTTCCTGTCCAGTACAAGATCACAAAAGGACAGAGAAGACTCCAGCAATTGTTCATCTACTAGCTTGGAGAAGGGAGAAGGTGCCAGGGGGAGGGGAGTAGCTTGATTTGCAGTGCCTGTGTGTTTGGGGAGACACATACAGCTTACTAGCAGGGCCGGGTTTCCCAGAAGGCCAACCAATGCCTGGCCTCGGGGGAGCAGGGAGCAGAGGGGCAGCAGGGGGAATTCCTATCTCCTGATGCTGGGACATGTAGTTCCGGGCGCTGGACGGGTATTTGCTTTCTACATTTAGCTCTGCTTTGGGCAAGCATGGCTAAATGTACAGTGGGGAAGCCACCGCTTGTTTTGTACAAGTGATCTCGGCGATGTCGCCAAGATCACTTGTATGCAGCCTGCAGGTCTGTCATTCTCCATTGGGGGGGGGGGGGGGGGTATTGACACCCGCTTGTGGGC